ATGCTGCTCACCGTGTTCTTCAAGGAAACTTCACCCAACACAGTAAACAAAAAGCAAAACAAAAATCAGATGTAATCTCCAAACTGCAGCCTGAGAGTGAGCCTTTCCCAGCCTTCCCTTTTCACTTCATTGCATCAGTAGTAGACGTTTCCTCTTTGCCTCAACACACAGGCGTGCGCAAACACACTGGCAGCATTAGAGAAGGCGTTAAAGATCAGCGTGAGCACAGTTCCTTGTTATCTAGTCAGTTCACTGGAATGCTTTTGGCTGGCTTCTCTGTGGCTCAGCATATTTGAGCGCAGACCTTCATTATTGCCAGCTGTCTGAGTGCTCTCATCTCTGTCCGTCTCACTCTTTCTTCCCTGTGTGGGCGACTGTACCACTAGAGGGGGTAAGTAAAGCCTCGTGTGCACATGTACATGAAGAAAAGTATGTAGGTGGTTTTTAAAATCACAGGCCTCCAGAAATGTTTTAGAGCTAGAATTATGCCAGGGTTGGGTTATGGATCTGTAAAAAGTTATTTTGAACCAAAGAAGGGTTGCTTTATTAACAGATAAAAGGCCATCTTTGTGACTAAAACTCATTTTGTTTGAAATGTATTCAAGTATATCATCCATGTAAGCTTTCAGAATCAGTTCTGTAATACCTACATTTCTTACTCTTTCCCTAGATATGTAACTGGTTTATCAACGCGCGTCGTCGCCTCCTCCCTGACCTGCTTCGCAAAGATGGCAAAGATCCCACCAAGTTCACCATCTCGCGCAAGGTCGGCAGTAAAAGTGACAGCCACTACAATGGAGGCTGGAGCAGATCTTCAGAAAGCAACTCTTCCACCAGCCCCTCTCAACAGCGCCCGTCGGTCATCCGCTCCGCCCCGACCCTGGACCTCAGTCTTCTCGGGAACACGGCGACGGCTATTCTCACGGGAGCGGGTTTCCCTGGTAATGAAGGGTCGGTCCAGGCGCTGATGAGGCTGGACACACAGAGCCTTATAAGGGAAGCAGAGGAACAGAGGGCAAACACGTTTTGTCCCACCAGCACAACAATGGCAGCTAGCCCCAGCGTCGGCCTCTTCAACACGCCTCCCCCCACTCCCCCCGAGCTGTTCCCCACTCAGGACTTCAGCGACCTGAGGCTCCTGGTGGACGCAGCTCTGCAGAGGGCCGCAGAACAGGAGAACCTGAAGAGGCTACAGGAGAGCCAGAGCAGACCCACAGAGGCTGTAAAGACTGAACAGGTGGAGTCGCAGTGTTACAGCAGTGACATGGGCCCCACGCCACCTCCAGAGGACAGCCAACAAGTCATGGATCCTTCCAGGGTTCAGAGTCTGATGGAGAAGGCTATGTCTGTGTCAGCTGTTACTGCAGTACAGGATCCAGACATGCTTCCTTTAACAGCCTCAGTATCGGTGCCGGTGCCCGTTCTCGTTCCAGCCTTGGTTTCAGCCCCGAGGCTATCTCCTCTCCTCATGAATAAAGTCACCTGGAGCCCCGTGGAGAATGACATAACTTCCAGCGCAAAGCAGGCTCCGCTCCTCCCAGCCCATCTGCCAAACGTAGTGCCAGTGTCCGCAGTCTTGGGACTGCACAATCCTCAGAACCCAGCTGCTGCTCAAGCCAAAGCCCCAGCTTCATCTCCAGCTCCACTGCTCACTGCATGTCCTACAGAGTTGGTATCTGTTCCATCACCTGTTGTACTCCCAGCCACAAGGCCTTTCAGCCAGACATCATCCCATACGCTTTTTCCAGCTGCTCCTTCTCCAGCCATCACAGACCCCAGAGGTGTCCCACTTTACCTGCCATTCCACAAATCCCCCGCCATCCCAGTCACAGTTCCATGTACGCCGCTCCTTTCAGCTGCTGTGTCGTCTCCGGCCTCTGCCCAAACTCCAACTCCCCTCCCTGTTTCAATCCCAACATCATCCTTTACACCAGCGATGCAGCCCCCTCTGGGCCTGATGTCCCACCTCTCTGCTCCTCTTCAGCTTTCTTCCAGCAGCATTAGTGTTAGCAGCGCACAGAGGAATTCAGCAGTGGTGCCCAGTGTTTGGAGCATGGTCCATGCTGATAGCAGGCAACCCACTTCTCTTCAAGTGGTAAAGACCCCCATCACCACAGTGTGGGGCCCACAGCACAGCCTGCACACAGTGAGTGAAGCTGTTAACTAGGAGCTGATTTTTCTTCTTTTTCTTTTTAATATAAATATATATATCTTGGAGGATAGAGGGCAAACATTCCTGTTGGCTGGACTACACTGTACATAGGAGAATGTGTGTATGTGTACATCACCAGTCCCCTTTCGTCGTAAACGCATGTGCCTGCAGAAAACAGGATATGAAATCAGATTTATGAACAAGGACAAAGTGAAGTAACAAACATGAGTTGTTATAAAGACTTGCTGTTTCAAGCAACCTTTTTTTAAATGTGCTGTTCCTCGATGAATTGCACCTGCCGGTAAGAACACTTTTGATGTCATTTCTCAAAAAGGAACATTCCAGTGTGGAGAGCTAATGTGTTGTACAGTTTTGATGCCATTTTCAAACCTCTTTCCGCATTACAATTTATGAATGAAGATGAAATATCCCGTAATTGTACAAAAGTTCAAATGATGTCATTTTCAGGACCAGCAGTTAGCCTCTTCAGTAGCAGACCTGGACTGTGTTGAATGTACAAAGACATTGATATCATTGGCTAGGCTGCCTATCATCCATTTCCCTCCAGCATAAAGAGGAGGGAATTTGTTTTGTTATTCCCACGCATAGCAACAATGTTTTAGTCATTCAGATTTTCTCTCAAGAGTCGGTTCTTTTTATAAATTCACCCTGTTTTTCTCAGAGATGAGCACAAGGGAAATTGATTGAGTCTGTCTCAATGACTCGCCTCAATGTGTCTGTCTCCATCACATCCCACCCCCTTCTTCCTGGCTTTTTATAGCAGAGGGGATTCATTTGCACTCATGAATTGTCATCTCAACCACTCAACGCATGCTTTAAAGCATCACGTATTTTCTTATTTAGCTATTTCCAATCCATAAAAACAAAACCCTATTTTCTGTGTTTTTGCTCAAAGCAAAGCAGTTCTGTCCGTTTAATTGTCCTAGTTCCGTTGTGCACGATTTTCAGGGACTGTTGTTGAAGTGCGCTGTGGCCACAGGATGAAGGGGAGAGGGTCACATTGGATCTGTTACAGAAATCAATTTCAGTGAGGAGGTGAGCAGCTTGGTGGTCTGATGACATCGAGCTCTAACAGCTCCTGGAATGAAACTTTAAACCTGCTCTGAGACTTTATCTTTTGTGGTGGAAAAACACTTTAAACATTGGATCCATTATTATATAGATTTCCCAGTTCGTTTGGGGCCATATGAATTTGTCAATTTAGTTCAAACCTGAATGTCTTACTATTTGAAAGTTGAATTGATGCATGTAGTGTCTCGACGAAACAAATGTAGCGGATGATCTGCAACGGCAGACATTTGCTGGAGGTTTTCCTCCCAAGGGGGGTACAACAGCACATCATCAAGTTTTCCTCGTCTGTGCTCATCCACCTGTATTTAGAAATGGTTACAATAGGATTTCTTATCATTCACAAAGCTGTAGTTTCCATGAAACTGTTGTAGCATAAACCTCAATATATGACTGAAGGCCATCAGGGCATCAGTTAACGGTGGCATCATGTGGAAGAGTTCCTATGTGAATAATACTAAAGCAGGAGTGTGCATTAAATCTTCACAACTGTCATGTTTACCGGTGTCATTTAGCTGTACACGATATTATTTTACAACTGCAAGTAGCAGGAGACAACAGAAGAAGAAAGTCTGATGATTGGTCAGAGTATTTGCTTCATCGCACTCGGAAAGCTTTCACAGCAGATATCAAATCTCGTACGCTGTGTTTAGTTTGACCCTCCTTACTGCTTGTATTGCGCTGTGGATGTCGTAGGAGGTACTCACTAGACTGATGTGCATTTATACCTCAATTTACACAGGTCATGTCAGACTTGGGTCATATGTAGAATACTAAGTATTAAAGTAATATTTCTATTGTTCATACTACATCATGCCACTGTGACAAAACCTCTTATCTGATGGCATACTGGAAACGGCTGGCTAAAGATTAGGAAGGCAGGTTTTTTTTATAGCACGATTAATGTGATTTTTAGATGCAAAATGGCGCTCCGATCAGACAATGTGATGACACATGTAAATATTTTTCACGGTCATGTTTCTTTGTTTGCATTGGTATTTTTTTCACAAAAATATCAAACTGTCGTTTATTTACAGCGCATTATTATAAAAAGTCTTTTTCAGGTTTGTTGTGAATCATGACTGACCGCTAGCAGTATGATAGGCTGCTGTGCCTTAAACCTACGACTGAGGGAGTAATGTCTCTTTTTTTTATATATATAAAAACTTCTCAATAGTCTGTGCAATATATGCCTTAAACTTTAAATGTGTTTTTGTATAAGCATTTCAAAGAAATAAAAGTTCAGTTTTTCATAAATGCTATTTCTTTTCCGTCTTGTGTTGCCTTTTGAAATGCTGACTTTAAATTGATTGACTTTGTGTGAATAAGCAATATTATAAAAACATTTTCACCTTTTCACAAAGGCCTTGTATTAGAGGAGTCCTCTTAATACAATTTAGCATTAAGTTGTCAAATCCATTAATGACACATCAGTCAGGATACATAAGTAGTTACTTTAGCATTAATGTCACTGGTGGACAAAGATGTTTTATACATTTCATTGGTTTTGTGTCAATCAAAAGCAATGTATTGAACCCTGTTTAGAACCGGTTCAGATGTGACCTAATGCCCTCTGACTGCCAACAGTCTGAGAAAAAGACATGAGGGATAGAGTGAATGTACGTAGATTATCCAACAAAAAAATCTGTAGATCAGAGTCTTGAAATTGTTAGTGTTGTTTAAGATACAGTATTTCGCTTCATAGATGTAAACGTGAAGTAAAGAGACACCTGTACGAAAACACCCCAAACACATTGCGGACGATGGCATGAATACACTTACTTTATTAGCCGAACAACATTTCAAGACTGAATTCCTTCAAAACAAAAACATACCTGATCCTTTAAAAAATACACAAAACCAGCCGATGGTAGGAAGAGTTTAGACTTAAAGCTATACTAAACATTTCATCAAGATCACCACTTTTATAAACACAATCAAAATGAAATCTTTCTATCCATTTCTAGCTTACAAGGATACAAATATTACAGATATGGAGACTTGTTGCAGTGCTGGTGCGGTAGCTATTTGGCCGGAAGAGGTAAACATTGCTGGTACTGTACAAACACCCCCGCACACACAAATAGACAAACGCACATGTTAGATTCCAAATGTAAAACGTCCAATCAGCTGTCTAAGTGTCTGAAGCCGCAGTAGACTTGTAGTTACAAAATTCAAATGCACCACTCTTCATGGTAACTTTCAATGATGATACTAGTTAAAAATACATTGTGAAAATACACTCTAGATCCCAAACAAATCACAAGCTCCTACCTTTCAAAAACATGTTTGAATCTAAATAAGTGAAACTCTTTTATGAAAGACTTTGATACATTTCTTCTAAACCTATTATGTCCATAAAGGTAGGAGCTAGCAGTTGATTTGCAGTGTGTGTGTGCGGGGGCCCTGAGGCACTCCGTCCTCCCTCTACTCGTCATCCTTGTCTTTGGCGCCGTGTTTGAGGATACGGGTGAACTCTGCGTAGTTGAAGTTGCCCTTCTTGTCAATGGGGGCCTCACGGAACAGCTCGTCCACATCTTCGTCTGTGAAGCGGTCGCCCATGGTGGTCAGCAGCTCTCTCAAATGGTCCTCGTGGATCACACCTTAGACACAGTTAACACCCATCAAGTTCCAAACAGTGACAGTAAAAGTGCCTTGGTGTGTGTTTTACAGTATTTTTTGTTTATGCAGACTCACCAGATCCCTCCTCATCGAAACAGGCGAAGGCGTTGCGGATGACGTCTTCAGGGTCTGTTCCGTTGAGCCTTTCTCCAAACATGGTGAGGAACATGGTGAAGTTGATGGGCCCCGGTGCTTCGCTCATCATCCCCTCCAGGTATTCATCAGAAGGGTTCTTACCTGAGGAAGAAAAACACTGTATCATGTATCATGTAATCTTACTTGAACTATTTGGTTAAGAACTAATTGCCTCCACCAAGGAGTTTGTTAAGATGTTTGTGTTAGTATGTCAGGTATAGATACTGATTTGGACCAAGTGTAGCATTGGCCATGGGGAAACCCACTCAGTTTTAGGAGCTGTTCCGAAATCGCAGAGCTGATACATAAATTACTTTTCAATTTGTGTTTACGTTGCAAGATAAGGGTTGCAAGAATGCAATCCAGCAGTTAAAATAAAACTTTGATCTGCATATATCTTATTATTTTTTATTTCAAAGTAGGAACGAAAAATGGTCCTTCCTTATTTCAATGTAGGAATGAAAAATTGATGAAGAAGCACATCCAAAGTAAAATAACCGTTGATCCTACATTTCCCCTGATGTATATTGCCTCTTTCATTGCTACCCAAAAAAAGCACACTCACTCCAATCTTGTAGTAAAGGCTTTCTGTTAATAATGGGTAGAATCCAAGCCCAAACTCATAATGTCATCAGGGTTGTTTAAGTTATCTCAGATTTGCCATAGAAACAAAGTGTAGTGAGAGCAGCGTACCCAGAGAGGCCAGCATGTCGTGCAGATCCTCCTTGTCGATGAAACCGTCTCTGTTCTGGTCGATCATGTTGAACGCCTCTTTGAACTCCTGGATCTGAGACTGGTCGAACATGGCGAAGACGTTGGAGGTGGCCCTCTGAGGGCGCTTCTTGGTGGTCTTTCCCTTGGCACGTTTGCTCGACATGGTGGCGGCTGGTTCTGGGCCTGCAGCACATTTAAAAGAGGCATGATTCATAGATTAAACGGTGAAAAATGCTCCGCCATCAGGGATAACATAGATTGGATAGATTACTCATTCACACAGCTTGACATGAATACCGATTACAGCATCCAATTGAAAAGATGAGTTAAGCCTATTTAGCATATAACAGCGCTGAAAACTGGAACACTGCATTCATATAGCTCTTTTATATTTGACTTTGCCACAAGCAGGAGAAGCTATTTCTCTGGCTTTTTCCTCCAGAGAGAGAATCACACTCTGAATGTCGGGTACAGTGATGGGTGTGAAGCTGACATGTCTCCACTGTGCAGCTAACTTCAGATCCTTCCAGAATTAGACCTGTCACTCACATGTAGGTCTGCAAGGATTTGTCTTGTGTGTGTGTATGTGGCTCTGTGATTGTGTTATACCCAGTGGGCAGCAGCAGACAGATGACACCGAGAGACAGGCTGGACAGGCAGGAGGGAGCAGGTGACTGTGGCTGATTAGTCACTTAAAAGGTATGACATCATGCCCCGAGAGGCGCTGAGGTGAGTACTGTACTAGCTAATAATAAGGTCATTTACTCAGGTAAAGCATGGAATTGTACACCCATACCTGACACGCAATGATTTGTTTTCAGTCTTTAATTTGCACCTTGAAAACGACATCATTATCAAGCTTACAGTAATCAAAAGGTATGAACACACACAATTAATTGTATTTCATCTATGATAGTAGAATTCAGTAGCCTATCAAATGCATCTTTAAATCTACTGTGCTGAGTTATACACTGGAAGGCTATAAAAAGATAAGTATAAATCATATCCAGAAAATCCCTCCAAACAACCTAGGCTTTTTAAAGATAATACAGATATAGCTGTTGATCTTCAGAGGGCTCAGGTTATTAAAATATGTTCCGCATGTTGATATTCTTGTCAGGCAGAGTTGAAATTCGTACTTTAAAAGATTTGAAATGTGTAATCTATTTTCTTAATTTAAAATATATAGAGATTTTTCAGCCATATCATTCCAAATATAGCACACACTATTTCTTACAAACTGAAACAAATGCAGTCAAATATAATATGCCTATTCTGGTAACAAATTAAAGCAGATTAAATTAACATTTGCTGTATCTTTTCTATATTTCATAAAAAAATACAGTTTTATATCCATGTATTTTACATTACAGTTGGCTAAATATCTGTCTCCAAGGACGTCTTCATATCTGAAATTGCACTGAGAAAACAAGGGGAAGGGTTGAGCAAGCTTTGCCTATCCTAGATCTACCCCTGTTGAGTATATAGAATTGTAGTTCTTTGTTGATCTCTACACAAATGAATGCTGCTGTATCAAGGGCAGAATGATAAGCTTTATTGTCAATGCAAATTAAAATATGACCAGCCGATTCTGCCCAGAGTTTCTAATCTTGATAATAAGCACAGTATATCCACAGTAGCATTTATATAAAGTCATCATACAAAATGGATTGTTTTGTCTTCAGCATGAACAGGTTACAGGAAGGAAATACGTTTATTTAACACACACACACGGTTCACTCTTTCCTTTCTTTCCTTTCTTTCACTGCAAACACATGTTGGAACATTTGCTCTTTTCATTTAACTAATGTGCCAGCAAATTCAGAAATCTGGAAGGTGTGTGCTGTTGGCCCAAAGCCCTTCCATTCTCCATCTAACAGATGCAGAGGAAGCTGGAAACAAAAAAGCATCCAGCTCCAGTTGAAGGTTTCGGAGAACAGAGGAATTCCACAATCTCATTCTTGTCTGGCTCCACTGATACAGTACTGTCTCCTGAGAGAGGCTGATTGGTGTTTAACTATACCTCAGTCTCAAGCAATCAATAAGATAGATTTTCTGACTTCACAATGTGAAACAAAATAAATAGTTTCAGGTGCTTTACCAGCAGCTCAAATCTTCTGCATTCTGCAAAGAGTGAATCAACAATGCTTCACAGAGAGGTTGATAATACTTTGAGGACTTCAGCGAGGTGCTGACGTGCCTCATCTTGGCTTGGCTTGACAAT